TTCATGGCGAACTTCTCCCGTCGCTGATGGATGTACGTGAACAAGGTGTTGCCCTTGCACAGCGATGTGACAATGGCAAGGTACGGCGGATTCATGCAGGCGCCCATAAAGAGCACCAGATTCTCGTGCCGCGTCTTCTTGAAGTTAGCCACCTCGTTGCGAAACGTCTCCAGCATATGTTCATCCTGTAGGTAGTCCTCGTTGAGCAGCTTCACCGCCACATCGCCGTGCCACAGCGCTCGATGGACGGTGCCAAAGCGCCCCTGGCCAATCCGTTCCAACAGTCGCAGATCCCCATAGGGTATATCCCACTCTTTGAGTGATATTGAGTTCTGTCGCCACTGGCCCGAGTCCCCATCCTCTGTGGAGTCTAGACGCACGGGTGTGCGATCCGAGTCTGTGCTGGCACTGCCCGTTAGCGACACGGTCTTATCGCTGTCGTTCGACTTATGGGTGTCTGTGTACTCGCTGGTGTTGGGCGCCCTCTTGTCCACGCCCGCCGTGCTCAGTTTACGTGGAAAGAAGCTGCTCGTAGTGCTCGTGGTGGTCGTAGAGTTCACTAGACTGGTTGTGGCATTCGAGGCGTTCGACACGTTCGACACTTGACTGTGGATTAGCGAGCTAATGTGGCCATTGGAGCTGTTAACCAGGCTGTCCATTAATCCGCCACCATTCATGCTATTTACCAACGAAGGGGGACCTGCCTGATACTCCGACAGGGTCTCGTTGGAGATGAGGGTTTGCACATTATGCGAGGCACTGCCGGTGTTTCCTCCGCCGCCGCCGCTGCTGCTGGTGATGGTCACATTGGGAAAGTTGAATTGACTCTGCTGCTGATGGTGCTTGGTGAGGGAGGGAGTGAGCAGGAGATTGGCACTGGAACTGCTGCCGCCGCCAGCCGACGAGCCGCCATAGCTGCCGGCGTGGTCCTGCAGGTCCCGTTCGCGCTGATGAAACAGAGCCGGACTGCTGGGCGTGGAGTTGGTGCAGCTGGAACTGGGCGAACTGCTGTCTCCATGATGCTGCTGCAGTGGCTTGTGCAGGGTGCTCTTCTTCACCAGCGGCGATCCCTTGCTCGAGCCATGTACGTGCGGCAGAGTGGAGTAGCCGCCCTGCTGCTCCTTTATGTGCCGAAACTCATCGACATATTCGCGGGGCAAGCCACACGAGGGTGGCGCGTGGGGGGCACAGCTTTTGTGGCAAATGAACTTGCAGTCGATGCACTTGAGCCACCTCGAAAATACCTGTTTTTGGCACAGTGTGCAGGTGGCCATGAATCCTATTTGTTTCGTGAACCGATGTTTTATGGTGTGTCCCATCCCGACAGGGCCCACGCCGGGAGAGCATGGAACTAGTAGGACGTTCGAGGAATTCCCAATGGAAGCCAATGGATTGCTATTACTGCTCTCGCCAAATATTTCCGAACTGGCGGAGCTATGGCTGTCCGGGCTGGGGTCTGTGGGCAGGCGATTGCGTGGTGGTGCGGGCGGCTCAATATCCGCCCCCGCCTGATTAAAGAGGGTCGTTTTGTGCTTCCTGGCGGGCGGTGGGGTGCCGCTGCCACGACTCCTCTGTGGTGTTCCATTCAGACTGCTGCTCACAGCAGTCGTCCCGCTGGAGGGTGTGAATGGGGAGTTGGGTGGCGAAGGCGTCAGCGTTAGCGTCATTTGGGATCCCTGCGTGCTGCCTGTCATGTCCTCCGTGGCCGTCGCCGGCATCGATGTGGGCGATTGGCGGCCACTGCGCGAGGTTGAGGCATTGCTTGAACCACTCTTCCCCTTAGTAGCATGCTGTCGATGATGTGCTCTTGGGGAGGCGGTGTTCAGACCCAGACCCAGGCCAATATTTCCCACACTCCCGCGATGGATGTGTATGGGTCGGTCCCATGAGTCCCAGTGCCATTGCTCCGGGTCGTTATTGCTGGCCGTATTGGCCTCCAGCGTGTCCATGCATTTGCGGAGATTCTGCATGGCCCTGGTCAGGCGACGCAGCTCCTCCTCCCGCTGGTTGGGGTTCTCGGCCAGCAGCTGCTTGAGCTCCTCATCGCTCAGCTGCAGCGTCTGCTCCAGCGTTGTCAGCCTGGTCAGACACACACTTAGCGACTCCTGGCTAAGGCCCACCACGCGCAGCCACTGCTTCAGCTCATTGCCCGTGGCATGGGGCAGCAGACCGTTGGCCGGGATGCGTTCGTTGAGCCGTATCTTGGTCAGCAGCAGCTCGGAGAAGTAGCGCACCAGCTTGGACTCCAGGCAGCGTATCTCCTGTTGCGTCAGCATCGAACTGGTGGCGCACTGGGTGCGCAGACCCTCCAAATGGTTGGCCGAGAGATCAATCATGTCCTGGATAATGATTAGGTTGCTGTCGCTGGAGCCCGACTCGTTGGCATTTGCATTGGAGCTGGAGTCAGTGGCGGCATTGTTGTTGCTGACTCCCGACGTCGTCAGCTGGGCGGCGCTGCTCATTTTTGTTGTTGTGGTACGGCCGCCCTGCAACAAAAACCCCCGAACCGATTGATTTTTTCAGACGCGCACTCACTGAGTTTTTATGATGGCACGATTTTCTGAGGCTTTGCTCCACATTCTGTAGCGTTTTAGTCAACCTTCTGGTTCGTTGTCGTTGTTCCGGCGCTCACACACACACGCCCGCAGCTCTAGACAGCATCGGCTATGCGAAAAATGCGATAATTTTTATAGTTTCTGCTTCTGTTGTTGCCTGCGCTCACGAAATTTCTCTACACCCAAGAAGCTGGCAGTGTGACCGCAAGTAAATCAGTGTGACCGTATATAAACAATCACATGCAATGAAATACTAAACTCGATAAAAGTTATTTCTCAGCTGATTTTAGTTCGATACCCAAATTCAAAAATCCATAAAAAGGACGATTTTCTTTATTCACGGATAAAATATACCGTCCGATCCTCAAGGATATACCAAAAATACGTCACAAATTTAAAAATAAACGAAATATACTGGCGTATTATTTGTATTCTATCATATTTCTCGATTTTGATATTCGGTTGATTACTAGCTATTTATTAGCTAGGACCCTCAGGCCTTAACACATAATTTTATCCGATTGACTAATCACTAAGCACTAATCTCCATCTCTATTGGATTATTTGTCCCCTGTGTAGGTCACACACCTTGCATATTTTCATATATTTTTTTAGTATTTTAAACCAGTTCGGAGCTGGAACTGGCAAAAAGTTCACAAAAACGATAATGTAAAATAATATTATGAAACAATGAATATGGAAAATATTCCATAGAGCAATGGAAAATGGATGGCACGTCAGCTATATTATACATTTAATAATTGCTTTCAGGTACTCGACATATCACTAAAGTGGCCAAACGATATCTATGCACATGGAAGCAATAAAATTGGTGGACTGATTGTCAATACCACATTGCAGGGCTCTCAGGCAATTGTTAATATTGGCAGCGGAATCAATTTAAACAATTCAAAGCCCACCCTTTGCATTAACGATATGATACGGGAGCATAATAATAATGCGGCGTCCCTGAATAAACTACCTTTGCTTCAATATGAGCAATTTATAGCCATGATATTTAATGAAATCGAAAGACTCTTAGCTGAAATACAGAATGGAGACTTTGAAAGTTTTTATGCCTTATACTACTCCCTTTGGCTTCATAGGTAATCATATCTTATATTGTGGTATAAACATTGCCTAAGAACAGATTTTCTTTGCAGCGAACAAACCGTAAAAATTTGCCTTCAAAACGAACAGGAGAAAGATGCTGAAATAATTGGAATCGACGACTTTGGCTTCTTGAAGGTAAAACTACCCACTGGTACCATCGAAACTGTACAACCGGATGGCAATAGCTTTGATATGCTAAAAGGATTGATAGTACCTAAGTACCACTAGTTAAATGGAATGGAAGAATTAAATTCTCATATAATGCGGAACTTACTTATTCCTCATACCCCACACACATATACTCGAGCTATTAACAATTTTGGTATTTTTAGGCGCATTTAGGTCAATTTATTCAGAATTAGTACTACTATTTACAAAGTGTTTCTCCTAAAGTGACTTAACCGAATTTGTCCATGCTAAAAACTTTGATGATATATTTGAAAAACATATATGAATTGTTCCATTAATTTGAACACTGCCAAAGATAAATGTGTTGCTAGAAACTTTCGACTAATTGATGTTGTATTCCAAATATACACAGGTTTGCTATATATCCAAAAATGTATTTGAAAAATATCTATATCTAGCCCCCATTCAAAAAAATTGTTAGCTGTCATGGAATTTGAAAAATTGAATTTAATAAAATTAAACAAAAAAATTGTTCGTACTGATGTATGTATATATGTAAATAATGCATCCGTATGGGGAAACGTCAATCTGCGCTATCTGATTTTCGCTCAAAGTCGGAAGAAGAAGAACCTAAACGCAGCCATCCTTACCACGCTCTACTCTCGACCCATGATTTAACCCGTTGACTTGGAGCTGACCAAAGAGGAATAACTCAATCATAATACAATGCTCTAACACTCCAAGATAAGGAGGTGGGATAGCACTAATTCGATGGATATTCTCTACGGCGTGCGGACGCGCTTCTTGGTATGCCCCTTCTTCAGTTACTCTTCTCAGCATTATTCAACGGAATATCTGAATTGAGCAATAGGAACAAGTTTTGTCTTACGTTCTATTTGTTTGACCTTCTTCGCTAAACCCTTTTTTAAAAGAAAATCCAATAAAAGCAAGTATTTGAAATAAGCCAGTCAAGTAGACAATTGATTCATTAATGGGATAAAATTATGTGGGCATGGCTGAGAGTTCTATCTGGCTAGTAATATTCGACAGAATATCAAAAGCGGGTAAGATGTACAGTAGATCTTGAATTTGTCAGTATATTTATGGTATATTTTTAAAAAGAGACGATATATTTCGGTATATCTCTAAGGTCGTATATTTTTTCGATAATCACCGTCACACTGCACACCAAGAAGAATTGAAAATTGTCGATCGAAAAGAGAATAAAACACAGAAAATATGGCTCAACGCAATCACCGGGTCGATCGATTTGCTCAAATGTCGAAGCAGGAGGAGATAATAGCCAAGAAGCGCCAGGAAATACTCGAGAAACAACGCACAGCCCAATTGGCCAAGGCGGTGGCTGCGGCACAAAATTTGCAGGCGCAACTCAAGACCACAGAAGCACCACCGCCTCTGAAGACACCCCCCGTTGTAGACGAAGAAGAAGAGGAGGAGCCCCCGCTCCCGGTGGACACTCCACCGTCCTCTATCGCGGCACCTGCCCCAACTGAAGATGGAAATGGCGTGGACGCGGGGAGTAGCGAGACGCCAGCTGGAAAGGGCAAAACTGATGACGCGATTACGCCCAAGACGCTTAACAGTTTCACCGGAAAGACTGGTAAAATCTCATTTGGCCTTAAGCGCCAGCAGCTTCCACAGCCCAGTGTGGAGCTACCGCCACCTAAAGTGCAGAACACATTCTGCAATGATGGCTCGTTTTTGGAGAACTTTAAAAAAATCCTCGAAAAACATGAGAAGCCCCCGGCACCCATGATTATACCCACTCCAGGGCTCAGGTAAGTAGCACAATGAATTCCTAGGAGTTTCCCTTCACCTAAGAGTTCCACTTGCAGCAATGATGAAAATAACTCAGGTGGCGAGGACAACAACCCACAAATGGACTCAATGCCCATTGCAATCAGCAGCTCTGCTGGTGGCATTGCTACCTCAATGCCCTGCAGTATCACTGTAACCAGCTCGGCAAGCAGTCATCTAGCTTTTAGCATGGCAGTGACAGCACCGCCGCCACCACCATTCAATCCATTCAATCAGACACTGATGCCACAGGGACCACCACAAATGCAGACTATGCAAATGCCTGCCTTCTTCCATAGTCATCTGCCCATGCAACTGCATCCGGCTGCCGTTGCACCACCTCCGCCACCCCCACCCCCACAGATGCCCATTGCCCTGACCAATATGGGACAAATTTACATGCAACTTGGACCAGGGCCCGTAGAGGGCATGCAACTGAATGCCATTCCGCCGCCGAAGGACTTTGACTTAAATGCGATACCAAAGCCTCAAATGAACCTGGAAGCTATACAAATACCCACCGTCGCTGGACAGCCGCCGGAGCAGCTTGGCCTATTGCCGGAACATTTAGTGGCCGCGGCGGCGGTTAATTCACACCCACCGCCTCCACCGCCACCTTTGGAGCTGGACTTGGAATTGGAACAGCATCAGAATCAGAATCAGCTTGGAGGATCAGTTGTACCGCCACCGCAGCCAATACAACTTCCACATCCACATCCAGTGGTTGTAGAGTCACCACCAAGGCCACTGCCACAAGGTGTGTAGCGTTATTGAAGCAATTTTTGCTGTCTGTTCTGTTCTGCCACAGCCACCAGCCACATCTCCATCCATCCTTAAAACTCCTACCTATCCACCATCCGCCATCCACATCCAAACATCCCTTTCGTTTAATTTATTATTACATGAAAAATATTTTACGAATCGTTTGAGCACGATTTTAAAGCAATTTATGTAGTTTTTTCAGAAACGTGCATACAATTGCCAACGTGCTTAGAAAACCTAATCGCACTGGTCGCGGAAAATGGTGAAGATTATGAAGATAAAATACGTTTGCATAGAAGCGAATTGCATCCGGCTTTGTGGTAAATGAGACCTGTACATTTGATTATCAACACGCGCAGACCAAAGACAGCAGACAGCAGTTGAAGGGCAGTTGCGGGTGGGGGGCAGAACAAGAAAGCATTTAGCTTAAGAGTCATAAGTTCTAGACAGATTAATTAAAAACGTAATTGCTTGTTGTATTGCTACATATTTTGAAGAGCATTTCACTTGGTTTCTATAGTTTTTTCAGTTTTCAATTTATAGAATTTAGTTTATTATTGCATTTGCCATAAGAATTCATGCAAGGCCAAAACTCAACTGTTCCACATGTTTCTGAAGAATATAATCTATGTAATATTTCATATCAATTTTCAAACAAGACACAGATCTTTTTTTTCTCGGAACTTGTTGCTTATGGCCACATAACGACTTGACTTACGGGACAGACTTTAGGTTGTAGGGACTATTTTTGCATGGACTCGTCGAAAAGCACTCTGTACCCTCGTACTCGTCCCTCGTACTCGATCATCGTCTGTAAGGAAGGAGGAACAGCTGGCACGTGGGAATGCTCAGAAAGAAAGCATTCCTCTACTCAAATGGGCGCCGCCTCAAACCAAAAACAGTTATTCCATATAATGTCTTTCGTACACGTGATTAGTATTGAGCACTTTTCATTGTATGTTTCACTTCTTTTGAATTTTGATAATAGGTTTCTTTATGATAAGAACTGCGAGCAATATCGAAGCTATCGGTCCCAAATCCTTGACTACGAGCGGCAGCGCATTGAGCGACAGCGGGAGCGGGAACAGCAGCAACAGCAGCAGCAGCAGCTGAGCAGGGAGCATCATCAGCAGAAGGAGGAGCAGCAGAAGCAGCAGCCGCAACAACACCAGGAAGAGCAGAACAGCAACTCGGCGGCGGATAAATACGATCCAGAGTCGGCCATCAGTGCGGACTTTGATTCGGACGATGAGTATATGCGTGGTATGATGGATCGTAATCGGGATAACATTAAGCGTCGCATCGAGTGCCGCAACGAGCTCAGCGATGAGGAGCGTCGCGAACGTGAGGAGGCGGCAGCCGCCGGTGTCGATGGTGAAGAACAAGATGACCCCGAGGAAAAAGAGTCCCAGCGGCAGCGTCGAAAGCGCGAACGTAAGAGTCGCTGGGGCGAAAAGGAACAACTGCTGCCATGTTCAAGTGAGTTTTTAAACTAATTTGTTGATTTGTACGCAATATACATATTTGTATAGTAGCTTCTGAAAGATAAATGAGTAATAGTTTAATTGGAAAACATCAATCTACAGTTGTTATCGAAGCATACATAAGACGATGATCTCAATCTAAAATCTAAATCTAAAATTGATACGACTTCCAGCTGGAATCCAGGGCCAGAGGAATCTGGCAGCTAATCTGAACAAACCCATGCTATCCACCATTACGCGCACAGATCCAGCTCTGCTGCAGTATGCCCGCCTTAACTATGGATCCACCCAGCTCACCGATGAGCAGTGGAAGCAATGCGAGGAACACTATAAGGTTAATCTGTTGTACCAGGACATGATGCGCAAGCGTCAGGAAATCGATCGACTGGCACGTGGTGGAAAATTCAAATACGAGTACGACTCCGATGAGGATATTGAGGGGGGAACGTGGGAGCACAAGCTGCGTAATGCAGAAATGGAGGCCACCTCGCTGTGGGCAAACGCTTTGACCAAACAGAGCGAGGGCAAGCATCATATTGGCGATTTCCTGCCGCCCGAGGAGCTCAAGAAGTTCATGGAGCAATACGAGGCGAAAAAGAACAACCGACAGCCAGATCTTAGCGATTACAAGGAATACAAGCTCAAGGAAGACAATATTGGCTTTCAAATGCTCCAGAAACTGGGCTGGAAGGAGGGACAAGGTCTGGGCCAGGATGGTGCCGGTATTGTAGATCCCGTAAACAAGTGAGTGAGGGTGATGGCTGGGAACTCTTATGATGTGACGCAACATAAGTTGTGGTTTCTTCTCTTGAACAGGGCACCGCAGCGTGATGGTAATCAGGGACTTGGTGTCAGCAGCGCTGCTGTGCCAGAGGATTGCGACAATGAATATGATGCATATAGGAAGCGCATGATGTTGGCCTATCGCTTTCGACCCAATCCACTGGTAAGTGTCCGTCTACATATATACTACTTGGAATTCACTAAGCTTCCGCACTTCTCTTGCAGAATAATCCACGTCGTGCATATTACTAGAGTCCAGCCACTTACCATCCAACCATTACGTAACACCCCACTCATGTTTACAGATTGAACTATACTATAACCCATTCTGAGTTGGCTTTGCGGTTCACTGACTTTAAATTAAACTTATTTAAATGAAACAAAATGCAGCTAATGATATAATTATATTGTTTATGGTTTTACTCTGAATAATTCGTAATTAGCTTAAGGCTACGTCGTGTGAAACAGACACAAATATTTCACACAAACTTCACTAGGGACTATCGTCAAGTGTTTAGGGAGTTCGGTTCATATAAAAAAGTACTTGAGTAGAGTATTAAGAGTCGGTTTGGTGAGCTCTATTCTATTCTACATGGAACTACATGGGGGAACGCCTAAACGCTAATAATACTAAGTTGTACTCGGAACTTGAAGCATCGCGGGGATTAGCCTATGAGTAGAGCGTAAGCACTGGTGTCTGATTGCCACGAGCCAGAGCCACAGGACATTTCATGTCCGAGGTGAGCATTTCCAGCCACGACATGTACAACGGCGCAGAGATGGCCTCCTGCAAAGCAAAGGATATACAGAGGATGAGAAACCAAGTCTCCAACCAAGATGGAGCTTCCCTGGGAGTACTTACCTTTCTGGGCATGGGCAGGGACATGACCACCAGTGAGGCATTTGATGAATGCTTGACGACCAGCTCATGGATGCGCAGCTGACGATTGGTCTTCTCCGACATGCTCTGAAGCTCCTCATCCGTGATGCCAAACTCGTTGCGTGCTCCCCGTCGGAAGGGTTCGATAAGGCGCTGATGCTTCAGCAATGTGTCCGTGCGCGGCTGTTCGGAGACGCCCTTCAGCATGATTAGCTCCGAGTACTTGATGCGGAACTTGGTCAACAGGCTGGCCATGCTGCAGACGATTGAATGCTTAGAGGCAGTTCCTTGGGAAGCTGTTGCAAGTCTTACCTCTTTTCCTCCTGTTCTTCGTCCTTGCCATGGCACATGGTAAACACCCTCAGCTTGCAGTTCTGCCAGTGGGAGCGCATGGAGATGATATACGGCAGCAGAATGGTGAGACCTGCACGGAAGAAATCAAAGTTGAGTAAAGAAAACACCAAGAAAATCGCACCTTCAGAACTCACCTCCATCATCGTACAGCCAGAAGACATCGATGGTGCCCTTGGCCTGCTTGCGCGTGAAAATGGTCATCGCATCCAGCAGATTCTGTGGAATGTCCGATCCTCCCTTGGTGTGATACGTCACCGCCGCATCTTCCTGGTTGTTCACCTTGTAGCTGCGGGAGCTGCGCTGCATATTAGGCATGGGCGCCGGCTGGGGCATTGTGTACGAGGAATTGGGACTGTCCATGCTAGCCAGATTCAGATTGGAGTCGATGTGCAGCAGCTCCGAGGCCGCATTGGCCGCCGGCATCAGTTCGTTGGTGAAGCCCTGGGCGTTTGCCGTGTGCATATGTCCCATGCCATTGGGCGGCAGATTCACCTCCGAACTCAGCTCCGAGAAATCCAAACCGTTGGGCAGCCGGAGCAGAGCCACGCCCATGCGCTGCGAGAAGGCATTGCTACAAGAAGGGAGACAGGATTAGCATGAGTTTCTACTATCTACATTAGGGATCCTCTCTAAACTTACTATAGAATGGCAAAGTAGCTCTCCACCTCCTCCTTGCGGCAGCGATTCCAATCTGGCTTGTAGCCCACCAGCACAATGTTGGGCGACATCTTGCCAAAGCCTGTGGACTTGGTCAGCGCATTGATGCCGTCCTCGAGGCTAAAGCCATCTATGACATTGTAGAAAGCCTTGATCTTGCGGGCATCCAAATACTTCTGACCATCCTTCACCAGATTCTGGCGATTCTTATAGCCCACTCGCACCGGAATGATGTTGGCCACAAACATCAGAGAGTTATTCTTGGTCAGCAGATAGCCAAAGTCCACTAGGGGAGGCCTTGTCTTGGGATCACCCGACAGCACCAGGACCTGGGGATGGTAGTTCTTAACGTGATCGGATACATTCTGCAGCCGATGCACGGCCATAAGGGCAGCCTTGTACTGCTGCGCCTGCGTGGTGGATCCCCAGTTGGCCTCTGGCTTGCGGTACATCACCACCAGATACAGCGCAAAGATGATACCAAAAGTAATAATGGCTGCCACATAATTGATGAGGAACATGATAGCCACGCACATGGCAAAACCGAAGAGACTGAGCCACGCGTTGTAGTACTTGAAGGTGGGCCGCCAGCCCAGGGGTTTGACGAAGGCCGCATGGAATGTGCAGAAGTTGATCAGAGCGTAGGAGGCCAGGTAGAAGGTGGAGATGAGCGGGGCAATCAGATTGAGCTCTCCAATGCACAGGAAGCCAGCGGAGATGAAGAAGGTCAGCACATAGCCGCGATAGGGCTCGCCATGCTTGCCGTACGGCTTGGAGAAGTAGATCAATCCCGGATAGATCTCATCAATGCCCAGAGCCTGCACCAAACGGGGCACAGACAGCAGGTTGGTCAGCGCTGTGCTGAGGGTGGCCGCAAAGCATCCGGCATAGATCAGAGGACCCCACACGGACATTGTCTGCATCATTTCGTAGGAGTTGAAGAGACCCCAGGTGCAATTGCCCGATGCCAAGCACGGCAGCTCCGAGGAAATAAGGGTGCCGTTGACCAGGTCAGCGGGAAAGCCAGAGGCATCTCGCACAGCAGCACCGCCGGCGAAGAGCACAAAGAGGGCATACGACGTCATCGAGATGAGCAGCGCCCAAAAAGTGCCCTTGGGTATGGCCGCACCGGCTTCCTTTAGATCTCCGCAAATGTTGGCTCCTGCCTGGATACCCGTCACACTGGGGAAAAAGATGGCAAACACGCTGAAGAAGTCGTGATTGACACCCTCCGCATAGCGATACTCCGACCCAAAGTTATCCTTGAAGGTGGACCCTAAATTAAAAGGTGGAACATTGGCTATAAGAAAGGAAAGCTTTCATTAATCCATCAACTCACAGGAGAATCCCACAAAACCTTTGGAGATCAGGTCTTCATTGCCCTGCGGACCGATGGCGGCACCAATCACGAAATTGAAAATGGCCAGGACAATCGTGACGATCAGGAAGTTCTGGGCCTTTGTCTCCCATTCCATGCCCACACAGCAGATCAGGATGAGCACCAAAATGGTCACAGCTCCGACAATCCGGATATCATTGATGCCATTGTCGACGATCTTCAGGCCATTGTTCTCTGAAAGAAGAGGTATTAAAGTTCAAATTAATATAAAGATACACATTTCCCCAATTAAATACTCACTCAATAGAACATTCAACGATTCACAGAAACCAATGGTGTTCATGGAGGCCGAGACGGCATTGGCGAATGCAAACACCACGCCCACGGACGCCCCAAACTCGGGTCCCAGGGAGCGGGATATAATGAAGTAGACGCCACCACCCTTGACCTCACCGTTGGTGCTAATGGCCGACAGTGAGAGGGTCGTTATGATGCAGACCACCGCCGAGATCGTAATTATAATCAATGACTGCAAGATGCCAGACTCGGCTACCACCCAACTGAGGCGCAGGAAGAGCATCACGCCCCAGATGTTGAGTAGACATGGTATGAGTACTCCCACGATCCAGCCGAGCTTGATATGACCGCCAATCTGTTCCGGTTCCGGCTCGGGTATTGTAATGCTCTGGAATGGGGAATGGGAGTTGAATTATTTAATTATGTATTTAAAATGTTGATACATTAATCTGCTCTATTAATATTTTAAGCCTACAAAGGGAGGCCAACGCTAAGTGCTTCTGATAATGATTAAATACCTCACACATCTATATGCAAATGGGGTTACAATTCCATCGGAATATCTGTTAAATACTCTGGCAAATATTTGTTGGCAATTTCAGTGCAATAATACTGAAAATTTCGGCTCGAATTAAACAGCTGTCCCCAAAAGAACCTGGCATTCGGGCATTACTCCTACGTCATGTGTGCAATTTAGTACTCGTATTCAATTAACGACCCCTCGACGCCGTAGTCAGAGTCAGAGGCCAGAACAATAGCAGCAGAACCGGAGCAGCAGCCGTAGCAGGAGCAACAACCAGATTATGAGAAGCATCAAATTGCGTCCCATTCAAATTAAAGTTGATTTTTATCGCTACTACTCTACTCTACTCGTAAAACCAGGGAACATTATAAAAATGTTGAAAGGAAAGCCGAAACCCTGAGAAAAACTCAATCAAATTAACTATTGCATAAAGCTATGCTATTCGGTCCTTAAATAAATGTCAATTCTCTGTCAGCCTTTGTCTTTATAGAGGAAATGCCATTGGAAGGGAAATTAAACCCAAAGTCTCTTGGTGTTTGGCGGGAGTTCCCTTCGGAAATTACTGTTTAAAGTGCTAAAACGAATGAGTCACCTTCTTTTTTCGAAGTCAAATTATTCTGTTTATTGTTTGTCATTTAGGGGAGGCGCTAAAAGGCTGTTCTGTGGGAACAGATGTGACTTAAATTGAAACATATTCAGTATAGTATAAATGCTTTATATTGTAAGCCGAAAAACAATATTGCTATCTAACAAAAGGATTTATAGTCTGTAAGTGTGTCAAAAATAAAACAGGAAAGATTCTACTCTATTTGGAAAGACGGAAAGGGGGACTTCAGTTGACTTATTTTCCTCTTTCAATTCCTGCACAAAAGTTTTCCATCGAGTAATAAACTGCTCTTATCACATGAGGTAATTTTCCAAGGCAGCAATTAATAACCATTAAAAAATAACTCAACTGAACAACAGAACAATTTCTTATGATTGTGATAATTTAATAAATAATTTACACAAGACGCTGGGTCTGGGTAGCCTATTTTTTCGGCTATTGTTTTGCCATTTATTTGTAGCCGGAGCCTGGAGCTCATTTATTATATTGTTTGCCCACATAATTGAATGTTTTTTAAAAAGGCGACCAATTGGAAATGGCACACGTGGCAAGGGGCAGTGAGCCAGGGTGACAGGGTTGGGCAGGACGACATCGATTGACAGAACAGAACCATCCCATTGTCCCCATGGCACACGC